CATGAATTATCTCTTACTCACCAATTAAACACTTCTCCCCACATGTCACAACAATTACTAATTCGGCTCTAAACAACCAAAGAAATGAAATACATCTCTCCTCTCACAAAAAACTGCCTTACTGACTTATTATGATTTGATATCCACATCGCTATAATATAAAATACGTTATATCTAGAACTATAACATAGGATCCAATTACAGTATAACAACGGTGACTACAAGAGCGCTCGATATGTAATGGGTACTCCATCACCTTTGATGGTTAAAGCAAGTTATTGAAATGTATTATTTGTATTATTAGATACTTTACCTATCTATGGCGAGCACACGTACAGTACATCACTAGAACTTATAAATAATGTGCTTTTATTATAAACACGAATCATAAACATACTCATTACTTAAAGAATTTATCTTAGTCAAGGTCCTTATTCTTGAATAAGAAAAAACAATTTTGGGGGTCAACTACATAATTAAAAGCCTGACAAAGTACGAATATATTGGCTTTCTGCAATGTTAACTACTGTATGTTTAAGCACTTATTTTAACTGATATTATACATATGTAATTCATACTCTTATAAGATGTATGTAGATAGTAAAAGAAATGTGCAGAATATGACAGTTTAATGGTGGAGGTATATAACCCGACCATAGACACATTGATAGATGTCTTGTAATGCACTGTTGAGGATACTTGCCGAACCAGGTTTTTTCATCTCCGTCCTTGTCAGTATTGAACCAATCAATAAATAAAGAACACAGAATTATTAAATATAAAACACAAGAATTTGGTGTGATTATAATAATCATTTACAAATAAACCACTGCATATTTACAACTGTTACACATGCTGATGTAACGCAAATGTAAAGTATATCTTATCTCTTTCGACGACTCCACTTTGAGCGATATAATTACCAACAAAGCACTTATATACTAATAAAGGACTGGCTTATCTAAAGCCAGTTGAGTAGCACTTGTTTTAGCTCTATGAAACCTGATGTACTTATATGATTCTGTTTTCGCAAGTTTGTATCTTGTTGGTCGAACGCACTTATTGTAAGTCGCTTTGGAATAAAAGCGTCAGCTAAATGCAATGTAATGTAATATCTTAAGATGATCGATGGCTACTGCCATATTTGCAAAATTTGCCTCTGAACCTTGACAAGTGCATGTTTTAGGCTTATCAATTAATGTAATGTAATGTAATGTTATCAATTAACAACAGGAGGGGTCACAAACATAAGACCAGCTGTTAAATAAAGCTCTTCTGACCTTAGCTGGCATGTGGGTATATATATTAATGCTGCCCATTATGGGCACAAGCAATTTTCACCCATTTATTAATTATATGTTTTAAATTTGAGTGTTTCCTATCCCCTAAACCTCCAGGGATGTACACAGTTTAATACTGGCAACTTCTTATTATGGGAAATACGAAAACGTCTTTTAAAACTACAATTCCCAGTAGAGACGTGCCATAGAGCATGTTGCAAAACACACAATAGCCAGCATGTGTAGTTCTGGGGACGGGGTGGGGGAGGGGGGGACGGGGTGGACCCGTTCAAATCCAGTTTTGGACAGTGCCGTGGTTCCATCCCATTTGAAAGTGCTGTTCGACGCTCGGCGTAACCCTCGGCGCACACTCAAACATCCAAATCACAGAGCTTGAGGACTATCACGGGGTTTGTCAAGCGAAGCGGAGAGAATACTTACTTCCGGGTGTACAATTCTCTAAAGCAACTAGGCTACTATGAGCTGCTCCGACCCTCGGTCCTGACGGACTCCAACTTGTGTTTATTAATCAAACAAATAAATAAACACAAGGATAATTATGTGTTATTGTTGAGTAAATAACAGTGTGGTTTAGAAAATAATACAAAATTAGAAGGAAAAAACAATGAAACAATACAGATTTCAGTATTCTGAGCCCCTACTCTCCCCATAACTGACGGCAACAAAAGTCCTACATTATTCAATTAAAATAAAGAAGTAAAAACAATAAGTGTGGCTTGATATTGAGTAAGAAAAAGGTTGATAAACGCTGTGAGAATGGATCTGCGGAGAGCATTTCGCCGCGATCCCAACTTCTCTATTACCAACGTTCTTGGAGCTCTATGAAAGTCAATGGGATGCCCTGCCCGTTGAAAACAGACTTCCAAGGGGTACCCTGTACGCAATAGAGTGATGGAGAGGGGCCCTGACCGCTCGTCAACATGTGACGGGTTGGGAGTGAGAACGTGTTGTGGTGAGAGCAGCTCACTGCAGCTCTGTGTATTGAATAGTGTTCATGCTTGTTAAGAAGCGTGTGTGTCAGGGTAGATTCAGATATGACATACAGGTTTACTAACAATAAACTCACTCCATGGAAATAAATGGAAACTGCACAGCCAGCAACTATAAACAGGCTTTGTGCATGCATGGAGATGTTAATAAAAATTTCAAAATATATACTTCACATACAGCAGCATTCAAATCCCTAGGGAATTAAAAAAATGACATCTAATGGCAGAATCAAATATAGAGACTGTGCAACTCACTGCAACTTTACTTACTTTACAGATTCAGATTATTATCTAA